TCCAAAAGTTATAGTGAAAGGGATGCTGAGTTAAAATATTATTTAGTGAAATATATAAATACGTAAGTATGAAATAATAAGATAAAAGAGCATAACACGTAAGTATATTTTAATATAAGTAATGAAATAAGGTTAATGGTAGAAGGATTGTATTATGGTAAGAAATCCGTCGTGATTTCCATTAAATATTCTACTCATATATTTTTTATAAATTTAATTTTAAAATAAAATATCCATTTAAAAATTTTTCATGTATATATTCAATAAAGATAAGAAATTCTTGCTTAAAAAACTTGCTCTAATTTATTATTTCTGAATTCTATTGTGGGAAAGAGCTAGGACTTTCAATCTTTTGTAGAAAAAAAAGTTTTTTTTTTTCTCTTTCCCTGATTAACTCATAATGTCCTTTCTCTTTATGCCAGAGAAAAAAAAGAGTCATTCGGTCAAAGCTATTTCCCAGAAACTTCCTTCTCTAAACTCCCAACAGTTTCCCATAAAAATGCTTCCACTTCCGATATGCATATTCATGTCGTCGAAACTTTTTTTGAATTTTCCAAACTTACACGCCAGATTGTATGCTCCACAGATTGCATCCAACTTATATTTTCCATCATCCGCTTCCAAGATAAAAAAAGAACATTTCTTGTTTTAAAATAAGGTGATTTATTCTCAAAATTACGTATTTTCGATGTTCCCTTCGTTAGTCTAAAGGAAATAGCTGTTGTGCGAAAGTTAAATAATCTTTAAAAAGAAACTTTATCAAAATAGAATATTCTTGCCTGTAATTTGCCCGTGTTGTACATTTATTAGGAAATATTCATGCAATTTAACGAATGAAAAGAAAACTGAATTACTTTTAAACTAGAACACGTATGAAAGGAATTTAATAATTTTCTATGCAAGGTACCTTAAAATATTTTAGTACTGAAAATTTATTTAAGTGTAATAGCAAAATCTAAAAAGATTTCATAATTAAAATTGTCCACCTAAGCGTGAAAACTGATATTAATCATTAAATATTTTTTTTATTATTAAATATTAATATTACTAAATATTACATTAAATATTACTTATTAAATATTTGTATTTAAAACTTAGCCGTTACGTTTTTATAGTGCAGGAAATGAAACTGATCAATAATAAAAAGTATACATCCATACAAGAATTTAATTTTAGGATTCTGATAAACGACTAATAAATCTTTAAAGCATACAATCAGGAGAACAAATGGGAAAGTTCTATTTCTCCCGTTTTACTGGGTCGTTTGACGGAATTTAACTTGAATTCTCATGTCTCGAAAGCGCTACTTAGGCTATAAATTAGGTTTATATTTAGCATTGCATTAATTCAGTACTTTTGACACAAAATCCGACATTTTTTAAAATAAAATACCACTTTTTTCCTATTTCGATTCTACGAAACAAATTATGCCGAAATATTAAGTTTCGTTAACATCGCGCGGAACGTTTTTAGAAAATTATCTCTCAAAATTTTAGCTTCTCTAATTGAATGTGACATTTACTTATTAATATCTGTTTGTTTATTAAACTTACTTGATTCCTTCTTTCAGAATACGAAATTTAGCTTCAATTCAAATACAATTGGCAGATAAATTCTTATTTATTCTGGAAATTTCTATTTTTTAGTATTTTTTTATAAATTAAAAGAAAAATTTTGTAACGAAATTTTTCCATTACCTTAAACTAATGAAATTTCTAGGCATATCTGCGAAAAATAAAAGTTTTTTTGCTCTCAATTTCCCAAGATATACGTGAATTTATATACTGGCGCGTTTTGAAATTTAGTATATTTTTTAGAAGTGATAATAACGCCAAATGTTGTTTAGGCACATTGTTAAAGTTATTTCAAAGAATGATGCGCCTTTTTTTTTTCTTTTTTTTTTTTTTACTTTGGTGCTTAATGAAAGGAAAAGGAAAACTGGTTACCATTAATTAAGAGTTTCGCCAAATCAATTATTCATGGAGCAAAATGAAAAAAGTGCGCCGAAGATAAATTTTAAAATTTTTCATTATATTACCAAATTTTAACATAATTTAACATTTAGGCATAATCTGAGTAATGGAACTGAAATATGAAAGAAAACTTTACATCATTTCGGAAAAGTTTTGTTTTGTCCAAATACCTATGTTAGAACAATGATGTGTATGAATCTAATGTATATCCTAAGTTGTGCTTTCGAGACATGAAAGAAAATCACAAATTTTGTCTTGTAGAGCAGTTTGGCCAAGTAGGACAGGAGATATAGAACTGTCGTCCCCCCTTTTTTTTATTTTTTATTTTTGGAGCAGAGTGTACATATTTGTAATTATCTAATTTATTAAGGTTTTTTGCATTTTTATATAAAAATTAAATATATGTTAGGTAACGCATTTTATATAATAAATCCATTTGCTATATTAGTTAATAAGTAGTTAAATGTGAATTTTATATTGCTCGAAAGGGAAGTGGTCAATAATAAAAGGATACATACAGGACTTTCTTTTTTATATTCTGATAAAATTATTAGTATAATCTTATAGCGTACTGTTATAAATTTATGTAATATTGGCAATTATGCAACTTATTTTGGTTTTATCTCACATTTATCGCGAATTTTATGTAATAATTTTATTGTATTCTTTATTTAATCGAATATACTCTGTGTCTAATTGTTTATTTCGTACATTTTGCAGATCTTGCAATTCTGAATCTAACATTTAAATAGCAATATAGCTCAATCAAAGCCTCAGATATCATCAGAAAAACTTCTGAAAGCCCTTAGCGAGATATTTGAGGATTTCTTGCCATTTTGATGACATTATGGAACTCATCGATGTCATTTTTGATACCTTTGATGGCATTTTTCTCCACTCAACCAGGACCTTATAAACACCATTGCGCCAAAGCGGAGAGTCAAAAATTTGGGTGTTGTCATCTGCCGCTAAGTATGTTTTTAGTTCTCTGAAATGTATCGGATTTTTTTTTATCCTATTTACATGATGTATGTGCTAATAGAATCTTGATCTGTGTGTGATGAAGCTATATTTAAGCACCATGATTGCCAATAAGTTTATTGTCTGTTACGGTGAAGAGGATGAATGTGAAGAAACTGCAATCTGACATTATAAAGACTATCCCTGGAGCCCACGGCAACCACGAGATCATTGATACCTTGATATTGTTCGATGTTAACATTCTTAAACACTTACAGCGGGTTTTCTTGAATCTCAGCATGAAAACAGGAAATTCTTGACTCATGTTGAAAAGGCACATGGACTAAATTTTTGTGACTACTGTGAAGAAATAGAATGTAAGGTGTTTTATCCTGAAGTGAAGCAACGTCTGCAACCGGACCCAGTCGTGGAGGATGCAATACTGAAGAACCCAATTGAAACAGACCCATTCTTTACGATGGAAAGAAGAGGTTGCTCCCAAACGTTTTTAAAGGCCGAAGTTGACCTGAAAGGATCGAGAACTTTCTCCACAACTAATGATCTCGTCAACTATACTGCTTGGCTATACAAGAATACAATTATGGTTAACCTTGCTTCTAACGTTATGCTTGAAAAGGCATAGCGTTGGAGGAAAAGATGAAAAGAAATTATTTTATGAACGAAAAAGTGCAATTCAGCGCATTTCGCAGTAAGATCTCCAACTGAAGTCGTTCAAATTCGTGAGCCACTGAAGAAGAAGTAATGCTTCAAAGGTGTCACTGGCCTCATATACTACGTGTCACTTATTTGTAGTTATTCATCTTTATTTGTATGAATAATTTCTGCTTGCAGCTGCAATAAAGGTTTCCATATTCAGTTTATGCAGTTCTAGCTAAATTAAGTGTCCTTGGTAACTAGAACTAGAGAAGAGTACAGCGACTGTTCGCTGTTCTTCTTACAACTGCTGAAACAAAGTCCAAAGAAGAATTTAAATGCTCTTTTATTCAACTCAAAGAATAAAACAGTTACCCCTCTCATACTTAAAAACAAGTCTTCTCTTGGGCTTTAACTTAAGATAGAAAATAAGCAACTAAACTAATTCTAATTAACTAAAATTTAGCTGAAGCTGTACAGAAATAACTAACAAAATTGGCCCATATTTAAACCTCACCGGCGAATATTAACCCGCCAGAAGGCAGAACCAGCTGTCCTGAGTACTTCTGAAATCGTCTACGGAAGTGACTATCTAAGGTGTTTCTCCCTCCTTCTTAGCATGCCTTCGTAGTGTAGTGGTCAGCATGCTTGGCACGTATGCGAGTCCCGGTAAAAGCATTGCTCATTTTTCATCTGTCCTGCTTCCCCCTGGGGGTCAACATAGAGTACTCTGCGAAGCACTGGCTAGGATCTGTATCTAGGCAGTCTAGGCCACGGGGGTAAAAATTTATGATTTTGGCGGTTCCCAATGGTCCATGGGGTGGGTTCTATACTCACTCTTCATGGGCCGGGGGGTGTCAGTTCCCTCCACCAGGGTATTGGTAGCCAAATAGCACCTGGGCCATTGAGCGTCCGGTCACTGCCGTCCTTGGTATTCCATATAAAGCCTAAGGAGAGGGGCTTCTCGCGTAATGCTGGCAGGTAGTCATTATGAACGGCCAGTCATCGCTCCAAGGTCACAAGCCCACCCCACTTTGGTCTTGATCTGGCCAGGACGTAGGTCCTGACTGGCCCGTGTTCAGCGGTGGGTAATAAAATGGAGCCTAAATGTGTTGGTGTCTCTGGGTGTAAGACCCCCCGGGCTCAGCAAGTGTGTACGATGTCTCATTGGGTGACGTAATACTGGTGACGTACCAGTCCCCAGATGTGATTAAGTTCACGGGCGGCGGTATGACATTACCATTACCATCTGTCCTGCTTCGAAATAACCTAATGTCGCTACAGTGGCGCCCGAACTAAAAGGATGATGGATGATGATTCTCCCCCCCCAGGATTTGGCGATTGGTCCCCTAATCGCCAGTCGCCCTTTAAAAGGGGGGAGTATATAAGGTATTTTTCCCGCTTTTTTAGCATGCCTTCGTAGTATAGTGGTCAGTACGCTCGGCGTGTATTCGAGAGGTCCGTGGTTCAAATCCTGGTGAGGGCATTGCTCATTTTTCATCTCTCCTCCTTCGAAATAACCTGATGTCTCCACAACTGAACTTCCCTTTAAATACTGGGTCTACCTCATTACATAAAATGTGATACTGAAAACTCATTCTAGTAGGGAGCTGTAATTGGGAAACAAGAGAATAAAGGAAAGGGTTTCTTAATTAAAATAACTATTAGAAAAATTAAAACATTCCCTACAAGTTGAACTATTCATTTTGAGGGCCATGGTGAACTGGTAATATATAACAGTATTGCAACTGTATTTTTGTAAAAATTGTGTGAAACATTTTTTCTTTAAATTTATAATACGCAATTTATCAAAACAAATATCACGATTTTCAATCTGTATGGAAGTCGTCGATGTATTTCTCACTTTGTATTCTTGGCTTCTTATTACTAAGTTTAAAGTTTAAATGGAGTTTTCCATGTCAAATGAGGCCTAGAATGAATGTTTCAGTTGTAATGAGTATGCGAATTTATAATCATTAAGAGATCTCGAATTTATAATTATTAATGTAAAGGAGTTGAGTTCAGTTCATAGTATTTATTTTCTATAAAAAGTATATTTAGATTTACCCCGTTTTCGAAACAACTGCAATTTTAATCACCTGAAATTCAGTTATAATCTGTAATTAAAAGAAGCGGAACAATTAATTTTTTAATTGGAAGAAGAGCAAAATTCAGGAATTGCAGAAAATCAAAAAAAAAAAAAAAAATCTCATTTATGACTTCACGAAATTTATTTCACTTTTGAAGAGAACTGTTTTATTTTCCCACAGCATAAAAAAAGTATTTTTGATGTATTTGCATGTAAAAAGAATCTGATTAAGAATTCTGAACCTTTTTCGCGTTAATGAATTCAAAATTAAGTAATTTCTCGTCACTTAATAAGTTTTTTGTCTCCGAATAAATGAATAAATACAGAAGGCGCAATTCACAAGATTAATAAAGACCAGCAGGAAAAGAAGAGTAAATTTAATTCCATTCAAGGGCCTCAAAGTTTTTTTTTTATTTATTAAAACTTTCACCCACAAAATTCACATTAGCACGCACTTGACATAGATATATATGAAATAACAATGAAAAGACAAAAAACGCGATTTAAATTTCATCTTTATCACAGTACTTGTTGAAGTGGACTTCTCAAACTATTAATATCAATTATAATTTGAAGAAATTTATGAGGTATAAAGAATGTTAAATTAACTTCAAAAAACATTTTCTTCTAAAGATATTCTTCATTCTGTCCTGATGCACTTCATATTTTCCCACATACTTAATATACTTCACGAATTTATAAATATTAAAATGAATTGTTCATTTTTTCTATTTTTTGGTTTTAAATGACTTGTATTAAAGCAAACTGTTTTTTTCTCGAATGATGTATGTAATTCAAAACATAAAATTTTGCAACTACTTAAGCTTGAAAAGTTAACTTCTGATGAATTGCCTAGGTAAAAGAAATATATAAACTTTATTTTTTTGTTCTTTGATGTGATATAAAAAGTGAGTTTTATAAAGTATTCGCGTGCATGTATGTAAGTTCCTTTTTTAATGCTTCACTTTAAAGAAATGTATTATTTTATGATTAAACGCTGACGTACCTCTGTAGAGTATCTTTTTTTAAATAGATTTTCAGAAACTGAGAATTAATTTTAACATATTATGAGCATACATTCTGATAAATGTTTGCGAATATCTACGAGTTTACTACTAACAAATGGATAAAACTCTCATCAATCAGTTAGATTCTAAACATTATAGACGCTACTAAGACAAGCGGTTCTCGACCTTTTGACTAACGCGTACAATCTAAACAAAAATTAAAAACCTTTAGTTCCCCTATCACTACAAAATACCACTACTACTACCACTACCATTCAAAAGCTCAGATCGCATAAATTTACGAGTGTTAGAGAAAAACATCAATCAGGATGTTGGGGTTTTAATGTTTGAATTTAATAGCTAAAAACACTTTGCTTCTTAGCGTACCACTTATTTATCTCTTGAATACCACCGATTTAGAACCCTTGTACTACACATTTCATTTTGGAGTAGGAGACCTGAAAAAAGAGCAATGTATATTACTATAGTACAAGGTTTGTTCTTCTCTACCAAGTTCAATCAGCGTAGTGGCGTCGACGTCTTGCTCCAAACCAACATTTCCTTGACATCTATGAGCAAGGGGACGTCATTGAGGACACGAATAAAAAACGTTACTCTCTCGAGTTTCGGAAGAAAGAGGTTTAAACTTGAAAATCAAAACTTTGCTCTGGACCTTTCGAATTCTCTCCGAGCAGGTTCTCGAATACCATCATGAATTCTCGCAGTAAGAAGAAAGATAAAGCTTACTTACATTCTCCTCCACTTAAAGGGTGACTGGGAAGAAAAAGACCCAGTCACAAAATTCTAGTGGTTATAAATTATCGTCCACCACCTTTTAGTTCTGGAGCCATTACAAAGACCATCAGACAATTTAATTCTGAGCAGAAGACATGAAAATGGGCTTCTCCAGATTTCCTACTCCAGAAATCATCGTAAGAATGACCTTGTTTGTTTACATTAGCTATACATAGGTCACGAGATCCCTAAGGTCATCTACATTCTTTATTTACATTAGCTATTACACAACTTAGGTCGGTCGGGCTGCGCCCACTTCTGTTATTTCATAATGTCTGTAAGGGTTTAGTACTAACGGTTCATTGCAATGTTGTTTCACTTGCGAACTTTTCTCCATGAAGTATTTGCACGTGAACACCGCAGAACCTATTCCCAATCGCCTTTTATATGAGCGAAAATATGATGAATTATAGCATTCCTCCCGCTTTCTCTCTTGATGTAAGTAGTAAGCAGGTCCAAGGAACCAATGGAAGATCCAAGGTTTAAATTCTGGCTACAACATATTTGATTTTTCAAATTTCAGAATGCTTAATAGTCTAACTGAATGAGTGGGTTTCGTGTCTATCCCTAATTGACCTTTAGATATTACATTGTAATACATTGGAGGTACAGGTATGGGAGAACATAATGCATTTTCATATTCCTTCTGCGCTGTCTCGTAATGTACGTAAGTGTCGTAAGTGGTAACCATGTCTAGTTGGCAAACGTAAGATCCGTCGCTCAAATCCTGGCAAGAAAATAGTTAATGTTTCATTTTTTCCTGACTGAAATGAATCGGAAAGTGCTATTCAATTATACGAAGCACCGGAGGACTCTCTGCGGTGGAGAAATATATTTTCATAGAGCATACATTCATTCATTTTCGTTTTCATCTTCAGGAAACTGACTGTTATTTACACTGCACACGATGAAAGCAATGGAAAATCTTACGCAACTGGCCTGTTTTGCCGGGATTTGAATCCGGGTCCAGCTAAAACTGATTTTACCACTCGACAGTCAATGGTTTGGTTTTTATGACATTACAGCATAGCCATTACCTATTAAATCATTACCTATCTCTCTAAGAGGAGGGATGCCTTCGTGGAGGATTTTTGTAAGGGAAAATGTCTCGTATACACGCTACACATGAGGGAAACCACGAAAACGCCATGCAGCAAGCCCGTGCGCGAAATTCAGACGTCCGACCAAACTACCAGAGTCAGCGAATTTACCTATCAGCCGCTGGTTGCTCTACACAGTCAATAGATTGATCTGAAATATCTTATGTTCTGCGCATGCTAATAAATTCAGTTTTAATTTCATTTATTTTACATTACTGAATTTTCTGTTTCGATTTAGGAAATTTATCTTATGTTTGAAATATTCAAAGAACCGTTTCCAATACAGTTTTCAATCATTAGAAACGAAAATTCGGAGCATATTATATGTAATCATCAAAACTCCCAGACTGCGATCATCAAGCCGTTTAAAGTAACACAGAATACGAAGCATATTCTGTTTTCCAGATAATGAAATACGACCGCGCATTACTTCTGCATCACGGCTTTCTTTCTTAAATGCATACACATGCAGTCTGGCTCGTGAGAGAGAAAGGATTTTAGGAGAAAGCGTGATAAAAACAAACAAAAAGAATTTGATTTGATCAAATGCTCTTAGAAGTAGAATGCATTGTTTCATTTGATATGCAAATTTGTTTCAAACTATTTCCTTCCTCTGCGTAACACTTTTTTCCCGATTGCATTAATTCTGGAAGTGCTTATGTATCGTTTTCTCCTACGTGCCACCGATGCTGCAATCCGTTTTTCCTTTCGAAGCCACTGTGAGAAGAATATTTTCTCCGTAGAAACTGAATTTATTCAAATTACGCGATGAAATGGAGGGACTGCTTGGTTGTGATCTAAAGTTCTAAAATAATAAATTAAATTTGGAAGAGTTATACTGCACTTAGAATTCTTGAAAAATCTTCAGATATAGTTAAAAAAAAGAAAGCCGGTTCTTTTTGTTATTATTATTCTTTCTGTAAGTTTTCATAAGTGAAATTAAAATCTAAGGAATGAATTATTATGCTAATCCTGAGAAAGATGAAAACTTTTTGTTACAGTGAGTTTCTTCTGTTACAATGTCTCACGCAGTCTGTGAGACTTAAAATCATTCTCTGTTGCGACTGACTGCAAATGAGAGACTTTTTGCTGTTTTATTATAATCTAAATTCCGTAATTTTCTGTTGGAATAATGTCACAAAACTGATTTCACTTTTTTTATTTTAAGCCTTATTCTATCCACATATGTCCATATATGATAACTTAGAGAACGATTCATGGAAGAGATTTGATCTCTTTATCAGCTTTAATACTTTATTGAATCTGTAATGACTTGACATATAATGTGACGTGATTCTTGTTATGTTTTCTAAGACTTTTATGGAAGCTGTGGGATTAGAAAACTGCTTTTTTAACTTTTTCCCGGCATACAATATGTGACTAAACAAATAACTCTCATTTAAAAAAAGTTTTTTTTTCCTTTCTTCTTAAGATCAATTGAAGATATTCACAATCAAATTACACATAATGAATATATGAATACATAATAATGTAA